ACCCATTTGTACTTATGATAATTTTGGCGGTTAGTTAGAATAGCTCTTCTCTCCTGCTTTCATTTTAAAGAGAGAGAGAGAGACTGCATCTTTCTCTGGCTTTGTTTTGGCAGGCTGTAAGGATTTTGTCTTGGCTTGCTGTTTTCCCGTTGTGTAGTAGGCTCTCCCTTCCCCTGGGTGTAGGCTTGGGCTTTCTTTGCCCTGTTGCAGTTGGAATTAATCTTCCCTGAATTGGCCAGAATTGCGCATAACATTTCAGGTAATGTCTCACTACTGCCTATACTCATCTGTTGTAGCAGTAGTTGCGCTGGTATCTTGTCTGTTATAGGATGACTAAATCTTTGTCAGTCATCATCTGGTCTGAAAAATCACCTTTTTCCCCATCAACTGCAATCTGCGTTGTTCCAAGTTCCTATTTCCCCATTTTCCATCTTAAGGCTATGGTGTGACTATTCGTATATGATTTGTTTGTTGCTGGATCACTTGGTGGAACTGATGTGAGCCTTTTTCAAGCATGAGATGATGATTAGGTTTTGAATTTACGCCATCAAACTAGCAAGATGACACAATAGTGATTTTTGCTTAAGTGAAAGTTTTGCTTGATAATTACCTATGGCTTTGTGTCTAGCCACTTTGACTGCCCTAAGCATTGGGAGAAGCGTGTTGCATAGCACTCATAGGAAGACGGTGAGAGCAAGGAGTTGCCTTTTCTAAGATAGCTAAAGTCCTGAGACAGGACATCAGAGAAACTCCTGGGCCAGATCATCTGGCCAATTGCTCTAGCAAATGACTCTGTGCTTGATTATAGAAGTAAGTATGGTAGTATTGCAACACTTAGCAAGGTTACATTCCCTGCAGACCACATGTAGTAGCAAGCGTCAAGGGTGAGGGTGAATGACATTTGCAGTTAAGCTAGAAATCCTCACTTAGGCAAAGCGTGCAGTGTCTTGGCTCATGAGAAGTGTCTGTAGTGGTGGAGCTGTACGGGAAATGTGGAATATCACCGGAGGAAGGAGATCATGTTCATCAAGACTTGTGCTGAGTTCAGCTCATATTTGATGTGAAAGAGTAATTATTGTTAGTGTCCCTGTGCAAGATTTGCCTTAGTCATGCGGCAGTTTGCCAGGCTGCCTTAATGCTGCTGATTATTTGATAATGTCCTGTCTTACCCCACTTTGTCCTTGTTCGTGAAGCAATTTAACAATTTTATGCATCATTAGGACACTTTCATTTACTGTCCCCCAGCTGCCCCATGGCTGTGGAACGAGTATTTCTGCATTTGAAGAGGGAGATGGAGGAACCTTAGTGTGAGCCTGGGAATTGCACATAGGGATGCTGTTTCCCTTCCTGTGTCGTGAACAATATTTGTGAAAGCAAGGGCAAGACCAGCCAGGGACAACATGGGGTTGGAACATTCAAGTCAAACCAGATGTATCAGCATCTTCATCATTTGCTGATTTCTGTTTCTTTGAAGGTCAATTGGATCTTCTTTCTTTATGAGGGGCACCCAGACCAACTAATATAAAGGAAACCTTTCTGGTTGTAGAAATGGATTTGAATCATCATGTGATATGCAAATGAAAATGAAGCTAGCTTACTGAGAGCCAAATGCATAGTTTTTGTCTACTTTCTCTTTGTGTTCCATAGAACTGAACTAGGATAGACAGAAGCAATTAGGTATCAGAGTCACTAGGCCAATAAATGGCCTTTGTCATTAGCGGGCATCGTACTGGTAGTCAAACCGTGTTTCTTGCAGTCTGCTTTGTCTTCAGTGAACTCTGTCAGCTGCTGTACCGGAGGCAAGTCATCTGGTAGGAAAGGCGTGTGGCCTATGGGCTGGAGAGGCCTGGTTCATGGAGAGTGAGGTTAATGGAAATGCTGTTTACAGCCCATGTGATGTCTTATCTGCCTGAGCTCTTTCAGTCCTTCAGACAGCGTTTGCATTTGTCGCTCTGCGTTATCACTGTCCTGGAGTGTTTCAGCCTTTCCAAGACAGTGGTTCAGGGATCATCTGTTACCACTGCAGCAATCATTTCCTTATTCTGATGGTTTTGCTGATATATGTTAGCCATCCTATTCACTGGGGTGCTTGTGGCTGTCTAGTTTTGACCAAACCCATTTGTTTTTTTGAGCAGACTGAAAGAATCTGTGGTTAATGGCTATTCAGCATAAAAGGCAAAGGCAAAAACCAAGCAAGAATGATAAACTGAGCACACAGGTGCACAAATCATAACAGCTGCTATTAGTGACAGTAAGAAAGGCCAGAACTCTTAAAACGCTGCTGATGGGCTGCAAAAGGAACCTCTTGCATGTATCCTTGAAGGCTTTGTAGCAACCAGGGCTTTGTAACAGATGAGAAGGGAAAGCAGATTGCTGTGGGTCTTATAGGAGGATAGAGGTTTTATTGGGTATTTGAGGGGGCTGCTGGGACTGTGTAAAACTTACTGTAGGACTTTTAGAGGAAGGATAAAAGGTAGGAAAGGGAAGGAGATGAGCTACCAGGGAGAGCTGTGTGAGTGTTCCTGTGTGTGATCTGCCAGTGAACTTCAAGCATGTGGAGGAGGAAACTGAAGTCTGGAGAGACCCGACGTTGGAGCTGGAACCTGGATGAAAATGCGCAGTGTCTGGGCTTGGATTCTGAATAGATGTAAGGTCCGAAGGGGAAAATTACATTATTTTCTAGAGCCCTGACTAGTATTTGCCTCTTTCATTGAGGAATAGTCTGTTGCCTGGTACAGGTGTGTCATCAGGCCACAGGAAATCTGATAAAATTTTTGGAATGGACACATAGTTGCCAGACTGTCATGCAATCTCCTGGGTACAGTTAATTCATCGAGACGTTTGGCATAAATTTAAGCTGTGAATTTATACTGATTCAACAAAAAGTCCTTTAAGGACTGGCGCAATGTGTCCTTAAACCCTATAACCTCATTTGCTATTAAGAGGCTGACTCCCACTGACGCTCTTTGCTGTACCGGGTCTGGCTGGGATGCAGTTAATCTTCTCCATAGCAGCTCACATGGTGTTGTGTTTTGGATTTGTGACTAAAGCAGTGGTGATAACCCACCAGTGTTTTTGCTATTGCTGAGCAGTGCTTGCAGAGTGTCCAGGCTTTCTCTCTTTCCCACTCTCCCTTTGGGGAGGTAACCTTTGCTCAGAGACTGGCTGGGCATCAGTCTGCTTGTGGGAAGTGGTGAGTGATCGCCTTTGCATCACTTGTGTTGTAGTGTGGTTTTTTTTTTAATTTCTCTCTCCGTCACTTATTAAAGTCTTACTCTCACCCACAAATATTCTTGCTTTTTTTGCTCTTCCTTTCCCATCTGACTGAGGGGGGTGAGCAAGTGGCCGTGTGGGGCTTAGCTGCTGGCTGGGGTCAACCTACTACAGATGGCCCGCACCTGTAATTGATTAAAAAATTGCAAATAAGCATTTCTTGGTTTTCCCCATGCTGATCTTATGCTTTGTAGGAATTACAGGCATTTACAGAATTCCACACTTCTTGCAGATCCTGCCTTAAAATTCCTCTATGTAATGCTTTTGCTAATCTTAATCTTAAGAGGTTTAAAATGCTGAAACAACCACCTTCTGCATTGATTTGTAATGTTGCATTGTCGCCTCAACCCTCTGTCTCCCTGTTTGATCTCATACTTGAGATAAAAGCTCTGTGGGCTATATCCTCTTGCTCAAGAAATGCCACACTGAAGACTCTGGTCGGTGAGTAGACAGATAGGAATCTGTCTCAAATGAAATAGAAAAGAAGGAAGCAAACATATGCAGATGTCCACTCCCATTTTACTATCTCAGTAGCAGCTAAAATGTTACCACATGTGACAAAGGTATCAGTAGAAAGGAATGAATTTTCTTTTTTCCTCTATTACATAGTGGGAAAATTATATTTTATTGAAAATAGATTCAATCTCAGAAATAAAATGTTAATTTTCTATTCTATATTCAAATTGTCCTTGGCTTTTAAAAAAAACCTAGCCATTCCTTTTATTAAAAATATCATCATTTCTGGCAGACTGAGCTTGTGAGAATTCATCTAGTCTTGGGTAGCCACGCTTGACATAGTTTGTTTAGATAACTTTTTTGTTTCTTTCTTAGCAATTGTGTGAGTACAGTATAATTGTAACATGACCGGTAGAGCTCAAATAGACTGATGCTGTCTGCATTCAGTTTTTGTGCTATGTCTCTTTTGGTGGTGGTTAAAGCTACAGTTTCTACAGCAACTGAGTTGCTTTAATGGCTTACCACTGCTGAAAGAAGTTCTTGCTCCTAGCTGTGTCCCTTTGCTAGTGCTAGGTCTGCTGTTAGCACCGTGAGTCATTTCAGCTCAGGAATTCAGCAGAAAATTAACACCTTTTTGTGTCTGGGTTTGTTTTCTCCTGAACTGGGAGCTGTTTTGTGGATGGCTTCTGTGAGTGACATAACTGGTGTAATATATGTTGTGGGAGGGAGTCGGACCTTCTTCTGAAGGTGATGGTGACCTTGTAGATCAGCTGACTCCATCTTACAAACCACATCTTCGTTTAGCTGACTGCATTGACAGGCTCGAAATGAGTCATCCCATTCAGCCTTGAATGGCTGCAACCAAAATGCAGGGTTTTCAGACAATTGGGAGTCAGGAGAAAATGGGATACCCTAAATGGCTCTATCAAAGATTACAGCCTATGGGAAAGGGCAGATGCCATAACCGGCTGTTTGCGGAGTCTTCTTGATCCTGGATCATAGTGAGGCTTACATAGACTTCAACTTCTAGGAAATGAATAGGAAGTGAATGCCCTGAGAGGGATACGACCTGCTTTAAGCTTTGGTTTCAAACTAATGACTGGTTCTTTCATTAAAAAGATACATGCTGTTTTCCATGACTTGCAGATTTCAACTTTTCTTGTTTGTATTGTAGAATATGTAGCAAAGACTATTAAAGTATTCATCTTTCCAGCCCTTTCACAGCTTTGGATGTGTAGATATAACTGTTGTGGACTTTCTTTATTTTGCAGTTGCTGCGGGAGCTCAAGCATCCAAATGTCATTTCTCTGCAAAAGGTGTTTCTTTCCCACGCTGACAGGAAAGTGTGGCTTCTCTTTGACTACGCTGAGCATGACCTCTGGGTAAGGTGAATTGCTTGTAGGTACCAGGTTTAGAGTTTTAGTTGCAGAAAAGGGACAAGGTCAGAGAAGACACGTCGGTTTAAAAACAGTATAGCCTTTTGCCCCGTGTTTGTTGGAAACATTTCAGTACTAAAGGAAAAGCAGTGGAAAATGTTGGGTAAGCACGCTACACAGTTAATCTGTGACCTCTTTAAGAAGATAAAAATCTGCATTCAGCTCTCAGTAGCTAGAAATCTAGTTAAATAAATGCAGATATAACCCTCTATTACAGCTAAAGTAGGGTGCAGGAAAATGTAATTGATTATGCAGGTGGATTCCCTTTGAAAAATGACAAACTTATTGGCTGAATAGGACAGTTTGGAGTTTTAGTTACATTGCATGTCATCCGTGAATACATGAAGTGAGAGTAATGCCACTGCATATAATTGAAATTTAATTCATGTGTTTCAGTGGGAGAAGCTTTTTATTCATCTGCTGAAATTTCATATATTTGGGAGGAAGGCTCTTTATTCCTAATTACAAGATACAGCTTTGAAATATAAAAACACGTTGAAGGCAAAGTAAATTTGTTTTAAGATATATATCCTTTTCCTCTGTTAACTTAGTCTTTGTAACAACATCCATTTGAAATGCTTAAAAAAAAAAAAAAAGTAGCAACACTGTAAAGAATCCAAAATCCCATGCAACCTTGACTTCCCTGAAAAAAGGTATGTGTTTTCCTTGAATTAAATCTGACAATTTTGAGGATTGCTCTCAATGGAACAAGTATTGTAATACTAAACTTAAAAGATATTAAGAAGATTCATATCAAAGGGTACAACAGAGGCAATTTGGAATGAGATGGAAATTTTGATGTATGGATTCATGTAAGACTTGAGTTGTATGAATCATGAGTTGTTTTTCCTCTGCGTGTAGTTCAGACAGACAACTAAGATGTACAAACCAAATTAAAACTCATTTCTTTTGAAAATGGTGTTCCTTGTAGTTGGGAATAGTTCAGTAGTATTTGCTTGAGAACTAGTGTGTCAGTTTCCCTTCAGCTAAGCTGAACTGAAGATATTTTCTCCCAGTTCAATGTCTTGGAAGTTCCGATAGTTAGTATTGAGATTTCATTGCCAAAATAAAATTAAGGCAAAAAAAACCCCAAACAGCTGAAATGTTGAGACATTCTTAAGGCTGATGTACAAAACAACAAAAAAAAATACCTTGAGGAAATGGAGTAAAGCTTTTTTCTAATGTGGAGAAAAAACAAGCACATTCTTTTTTTCACTGCTCCCCTGTATTTTGATATGCTAAGCTGCAGAAGTTTAGGAATGTGTGAAGTTTTTTTGTTTCAAAATGTGCTGCAAGGCTTTGTATTTGTTTGGAAGACTGTGACTAATAGTGACCTGTCCTTGTTTGTATTTATACATTTCTGCATTGCTTCATACTTAACCAAAATCACTGTAGAAGCACCTCTGTTAACGAAACACTGGTTTGAGTATCGGTAACTTAGGAATGACCCTCAGTTTTGACCTTGCTGTTTACATGCACATACCTGTATAAACTCCTGAACTATATAAACTCCCAACTGTACCAGCTCCTGGTCGTTTGCTGTATCTGGATGCAAGAGACCTAGCTGCAGCGACTGGGCTGGCTCCATGCTCCAGAGAGCTGGCTATGGACCAAGTCCTCCACTGCTGAGCATATCTAGTGCAGCAGGTCTCAAACAAGGCTGGGAAAAGGGCACAGAGTATATCAGAGCAGGACAAAAAGGTCCAGGAGAGCCATCTCTCTTTCTGTCTGTCTCTGAAGAGTCACTTCTCTCTGGCCACTGCATGAAAAATAACACTTGTTTTGGAGTCAGCAGAAGTGGAAGGTGAGAGGAGGTGAAACTTGTGGCTCAGGATTAGGGATGCTCGTGCACGTGATGCTTGGCTGACTGGGCAGGGACTGTCACTTTTTCATCAATATTTCTCTCCTCCTTGCAGCTCCATTTTTACCTTTGGCAGAGCAGGGATGTGCCTTTTCCTCCCAGGAAAGCCAACCTTGATGCCTGAAGCAAAAGAGGGCAAGCTGTAATGGAGCTGGGCTGCAGCAAGAGAGGCAATTTCCCGAAGGGGTTTGAGTAGTTGGGTACCTAATTGGCACCTGGAATATGAAAGCTCAGGAATGTAGGGAGAACATGTGATAGAAGTTTGGTGCCAGGTTTTGGATGGACAAGATCAGGGCTGTTTTGATGATCACACCAGTGTGAGCCATTACAGAAAAGAAGTGTAAATGCGTGAAAAAGTTTGTTATAGAAATTGCCTCTCTCAAAAGAAGACAAAGATGGAACACCTTATGCTATTGAAGTTAGTGGCACCTGGCACTCAAGTGCTAAGAAAACATATCCTTTTGGATTCCTCATTGTTGCTAGACATCGTTGCCTGTGTATACACTTACAATTGTTAAAGGATTTTTCCGTGTCTGGGTTGGTATCTGTCTTTCAGATGGACAGATTTACAGCTTTGCTCTGTCAACAGCTTCTGTTTTGAGAGTACTGTGTTTTAAGGGTATAGTAAATAAATAAATAAATAAATCTGGGCTTCTAATTTAGGTGTTTAAAACTCCCGATACAGTTTGCAAGAATTTCTGTCTGGCATTAGGGGTTGAATATTACAATGTCGTTATCACTGTAGGAGAAAACCTAAAAGTAAAATAATAGAGGAGTTAGGTGATGCACTTTTAATTCTGTGCTGTGATATACAAGGTATCAGCCTATCGTAACAAAAAGAACCCCCAAACAAAAATACCCCTAAAACCTCCAAACTGTTAAAGATCAGTGATCTGCAAGGGAATTTGCTTTGACAGTTGTATTGGGTTTGTTCTGCTCATCCCACTGTGGGAGAGCGAGCGAGCGGTTGTGTGGGGCTTAGCTGCCTGCCAGGGTTAAACCACAGCAACAACTGATTTCATTTTTGAAAGGTTTCCTTGGGACAGTGATCATTTTGCCTCATATAGTATTAATTTTCTAGTACTTAAGGTACATGTTTCTAGTTTTGAAAATGAATGATGGAAGGTTGAAAAAAAGCCTAAGAAGTTTGTGTAAGGAATTGCTGGCAATCTTTTTGTGTAATGCCGTAGACCAAAACATTACACTTTTTTATTTTGATTTCTTTTTCCCTTTTACAGCATATAATCAAGTTTCACAGGGCTTCTAAAGCAAACAAGAAACCAGTTCAGTTACCTCGGGGAATGGTGAAGTCACTGTTATATCAGATCCTAGATGGTATTCACTACCTGCATGCTAACTGGGTGTTACACAGGGATTTGGTAAGTGGATCCGCAATGGGTTTTAGCACTGGGGTGATGACTGAGGGCAAAGATTGGTTTTTTTTTAATGAAAAATTGCTGGGAAACAAAAACCTGTGTGCTAAGGGCATGTACTAATAAATATATATTTTTATACTGCAGTCAGACAGCCTTGATTAGAAGAGCGAATTTTAAAAGCTGGCTATGATCTGGTATGCTTATGACAGCGAAGTATATCAGATGGCTGTTTTCCTTTTTTGATTTTCTAAATAAACTATTTTTAAAAGTGTTCATTTAAATAACAGGCATGTGGAGGTACAGAAAATGCCTCTGGTAGTATCACTGCAGGCAAGATAAATAACTAAATACGGCATGTGTGTAGGTGCGGAAGAGGATGATTGGCTGTAAGAACTACTGAAAAAATAAAAACTCCCTAAAATTATTAGTTTTACTTATGAAGGTAACTTTTGAAGGCCATTATCTTCTCCTAATATATATAGTCTATCAGAAATATAGCCATGCCAACTTTTGAAGACTTCTGCAGGTAAACTAATGTTTGTCCAAACTACAGTAGAAGCAAAACATTTTGAACCTAAGTTAGTGCTTCTTAACCAGCAAATTCTATTAAATGTTTTAAGTTGGTGAATCTCACCAATTCTTATATATTTGCCTTTGAAATATTTCCATAGCTGGCTCGGCTGGTTCTGTCTGTTGTCTTAAAATTGGGTAGTTTTCCTGACCCAATTGTCTGTAGCTCTTACTCTTAGAAGTAAATTGAAAAAAAAAAAAAATGCTATTAAAGTATGATTCTACCTATTTAGGATGCTTCTAATTACTGAAATTTCATTAGTGCATGAGAGTATCATTAGTTTGACCTTTCATTCCCATGAGTCAGTATTACCAGTGCTATTCTATGCTTGTTGCAGTAAGTCTGGCTTCCTTATTACTCTTCCAGAGTCACTTTTTGTCTTTGAGATAGCTTTAATAGTGTTCCTGGAAATGTAGTCAATGACTAGTTATTTGTCTTCTATTTTCATGCCCAATAAATGCTTCTACAGAGTGCCAGTCTCTGTTTAAACTGATGGGAAAAGATCTGTCTTTGATAAACAACATTTTCAGAACTGAAATACAAGGAAGCCTTGCTTTATTAAAATAATTGTATGGATATTGTCTCTAATTTGCTCCTGGTTTTAGAAATGGAACAAAAGCCACAGCACTGAGGGAAAAAGTCAAAAAGATTGTGGTGGCTTTGTAATGACTCATGAAATAGTGGAGCAAAAGATAATGTAGAAATATATAGTGCATGTTACTACTTAGACACACTTCGTGTTAAACCAAACTGTAATGTCTTACTCTAATGTTCTGCCTGCAGTAGTACTCTTCAGTATATTTTTAAGAGGCATTCAGAAAACAAATGACCTGTCATCAAGAATCTAAATTTTTCTGATGTTTTACTTTCTATAGTTTCAGAAAACTTATGAGCTTAAGCATAATTGAGTTTAAAAAGAAAACCATGCATGTTGTTAACTGGATGGCTCAGGAGATTGGTAATTTATTACAGAGCCTTTCATATCTAGGTCTGTAGCTCAAATACAGTTTAAGTTGGCAACTGCGAAAAACTATTACCATCTCATTTTCTGACCTATGTGAAATGAGTTGGTGGTCTCAGTCCAGCATGAAGTTTTCTTCCAGCAGAAAAACCACCATCACAATTGGCTATCTTTTGATAATCTGAGGAAGAGACCAAAAGCTTGAGGCAGAGTCTGAGGGGTCTTCCCACTGCAACCTTGTCAAGCAGTGTTGGTGAGAATCCTATAAAAGCTGTGCAGGGGCTGCCTGTGCTGCCTCGTCCACGGAAACCTTTGGGTTAGTCGTTTTGAAACCGTTCAGTTTGAGCTGAATTTAGAAGGCACATGTTTCATGCAGGAGAAGAGACAGAATTGTATCTGTCAGATACTTTCTTCCTTTTATCAGGGTCCCTGGGAGTAGCCTGAGTAACAGAAGGGGTTCTACCTAGTGTTTTGTCTTGGCAAGACAGGGGCATATTGGTACAAAGTTAAGCTTGCAAGTTGGGACTTCAATAGCATGTATATTCTGATCCAAAGCAAAATAACTGACGTTAATGCTTGTTCTTAGATGTGGGTTTCTGATCCAGGATACCTGTAATATTATCCTTCAGGAATATCGGTATTAAATCAACAATTTTAACTCCTGATGGGGTGGCTGGACAAATTTATTACGTTTCTCCTACTGTGCCTTTAAAATGATAGGTGTTGCTGTAGTTTCTAAATGTTTTATGTTTCGCTAGATTTAGATGTGTACAGATAGACACACAGAGTTGCTTAAGTAACATGCTTGCTTTCATTTCATATACTAGCTATTATAAGAGTGATGGTGCTTGGGGGTGGTAGGAAGCTAAAGAATATAGTCCTTTGGCAGAAAAATCTGTTCTTTGCTACATCTCTCTCATAGGATAAGGGAAAGTAATTATCCTTCATCTAAGTGCAATTTTTTGGTTTTGGGGTTTTCTTTTTTTTTAAGGTGTCTTAATGAAGTTAGCTTTTAGGTAGGTAATGTTTTGGAGTTTTTTGAGATCTTGACTTTTATAATCAGAAACAAAATACAGCATAAAGTAACTCCTTTCTTGCTAGCATCCACAAACCAGGCAGTAAAACTTAATGGCTATTAAAACCACATAAACTTAGACTGGAATTTGTCTTCATAGTGGTGGATTCGAGGAATCTTAATTCATTTAAGATTTATATAAAGTGAGTATATTCTGTATGAAACAGTAAAAACTGTAGGAAGACAATAATTGTCTATGGTGTTTTTTCTAGTCCTGGTTTGTCTTCTACAAAGGAAATGCATACAAATCTTAGCAATAACTTAACTATTTAAATAGTTAACTCTCTTTGCTGTTTCTTTTTCTTCTTTGACTGCTTACATGAAAGCCAATTCGCCATTTCCATCAGAGCAAGGGAGATGTTGATTATATTTGTTATCTTTGAATAGTGCTGTGCTTGAGTAGTTAGCTTTTCCATAAGTCTTTGAAACATACCAGTAAATTTTTTCGACAAATAAATGTCAGTCCTTTTAAAATTTCTTATTTGACTTGCATATCCTTCAGCTTTTTTTAATTTCATGACTGAGAGCAATTGAAAGCAGATTGTTTATTCATGCTCTGACTGTAGCAGGAAGGAAATAAGAACACTTCATGTAATTACAACAAAGTGCATCAATTATAGTTTTAATAATATTTTGAATTTAGTTATCAAGCATGCTTGAAACATACTGCATTTTGCTGACTTCTTTTCCTAGTATTTTTTCCACTTTATGATATCCAGCTATTGGACTTCTTCCTGTACTCAGAGTGCTTATTCCACACTAAAAATAAGCATAAGAAAACGACTGGCCGTATATCTGTTTTCATCAATCTGCTTCCTCAATAGCATGAGGAAAGAGAGGATGGACTTAGCAGTGTGCTTGGAAAATTTCTTCAAGTAATGGGCTCAAAATAGAGGTCCGTTTGCATGGTATGGCAATTTATATGTCATGCCTGTTAACATTTAAAAGTGCATCTTTATTTGATATTAGTGTGTAGTAGGCTTGTCCTCACAGTCAGGATCCAGTCTCAGCTAAGAGATGAGCACCCCTTCACTGGTTTTGTGTAGTGACAGTAAGATTAGTCTGCAATTTAAATTAATAATATATTAACAAAATATTAAATTAAGAATAGATTTTGCATCAAGACTATTTAAAGAGCTCACATGGTGCAGCAATGCTTAAAAACATACAACCACCCCCCCAAAAAAACCCCCAAACCTACTCCCAAACAAAAAAACCCAGAGGAAATCTCATAGCTCTTACTTGTAGTACTGCAGCTGAGACACTATCATGAAACATTTTTTGTTCCCAGATTTTCAGACTAAATTCCCTGGCCTATTTCTTTGTGCATGGTGTGAGTGGGTGCTGAACAGATGAATTGCCACTTGGCAAGCCAGGTGTGGAAGTGGGTAACACAGTGCTGGACTCCTGCTTCCCATTCCCCTCCTCCTATCTCTTGCCAAAGGAATGACAATCTCTTAGCCTTTGTCAATAACATCCATGTTGTAGTTAGTCTGGGATTGTGTCACTGTGGATGTGACCATTTGCAAACTAGCACTAGCACAGGATACTGCAGCCTATTTAGTGCATTCCTAGTGTGCAGCTCAGCTAAACTGCTGCTGTGGGATGAGCACTGTTTTTTAATAAGCTTTCAGACGGACAAGCTTTAATACAGTTGGAATGTAGCTTCCTGGGACCTGGACTCTTCCCAAGGATGCCTGCTGCCAGGTTTGGGATTAGTGGGAACATTAAAGATGCTCTTTTAACAATAAATGAGGAGAAGCCACTGCCAGGGTGGTTTTTTGTAGGCAACATCTTAGTCACTTTCCAGACTCTGGCTGTGAATCACTTAAGTACGTGCTTTAGGCAAAGTTATATATATGCAACTTTTACCTTGCCAATTTACCATTTTCCACATTAGAGCTCTTGAATCCAAGGATGTCTCCCTCATCAATATTCAAGGATTACTTCAGAAATACAGGAATAAAAAAAACCTGCTGTAATGCTCACAAAACTGTGGTCATTTGACGGAATGAATCTGAATGCTTAAAAACAAGTAGTAGGAAAAGCTGTGCACATTACTCGAAAGAAGTTAGCAGTTTTTAAAAGCAGGGTGGTCTTCTACCGTGTTTAAGTATATAAACAGATACAGGCATTATTTCCCAAAAGGCGTTGTAATGACTTATTGGTGATTTCCTTTCAAAGAAAAAAAAAAAACCAAACACCAAACCAACCCAATCAATGTTTTGGCTGTCAGCTGTTGCATTTCCCAAGATTTTTGTTTCTAAGGTGTTTTTTATTATGTAAGTGTGTGCTTTCATGAGATCACAAGAGAACAAAGTGTCTGGCAGAAACTTGTTTTCTTGCATAAGCTGTAATAACATGCTTTCCTGTGAGTTGTAATTTACTATAATTCT